TAACTTTTCCACCAAACAATATGCCTTGGAGAGACGCTGGCCCTGGAGTAGGAGTTCCACATAGTAAGCCGAAATATACTTTGTTTAATGGATTCGTTTGATTTTACTGTACAGCTATCTGTATGGGCCTTTGACCTAAGTGATTTTGCTTAGTTATACTTGTCACGCATACCGAAAGAAAAAGCATATCTATTGCCTACTGCCACCAGAACAGTTTTGTTAGTCTACAGCCCGTGTAACAGTGCGAACCTGGCGCAGGATACCCCTGGTATGACAGCAAGCGGCCGACATCATGGTTTTCCCAGAGTTATTAACAAACGTAGTGGAATAGCTAGAAAAGAGGCTGATTTTTGTGGATTAACGTTCAGAACGTTTGGGATAATTCTAGGTGACCGTTACGACTGCTCAGTTTTGTACAACAGGTAAGGTATGTGCATTAACACTTGAAAACTGTGATCCACGTGCGATATGATCAGATTTGCCCTTGTTGTTACAAGGTCATACCAGGAAAGTTGTACCAATACAGTAACAGGAGTCTCTGCATGCCCTTTATGGACATTGTGCGATTAAAAGAATCTTAGTCTGACGGTTTACCGCTACCCACAGGTCTATTCATAACTCTATACCGTGGAATGATCTAGGCGCTAATGCGTTAAATCTGCCAATCTTCAGGGTTCCAAATAATCTCAGAATTCGGCTTTTACTTCTAATCATCTCTAGAATGTGTATTGTGAGTGCAACACATTAAAGTTAAGCATACTAATGTCTCACAGGTGTTTGTGCACACGAAAATACACAAACATTTTGAGATTTGGCAGGCGTTGTTTTGTCATTTCTAGAGAACTTAGAACGGTTTTGTTGTCATACTACATCGGCCCACGATTGTGCACTGAATCACAGTTGAAAAAGTGTGCAGAACACTTGAAAGACACTTTCTAGAGAACTTAGAACGGTTTTGTTGTCGTACGACATCGGCCCACGATTGTGCACGGTTGAAAAAGTGTGCAGAACACTTGAAAAACACCATGCTGAGGAATGTTTGGAAAGTTGAACAAGTAAAGTGCACGTGCTCAGGAAAGTGACCTCAACTGAAAAACTGTGTGCAGAGCTGTTTGAAAATGTGCCCGACCAGACTTACGACTGTTCGATTTATACTGAGCGGAGGCTGTGCTAAATGATGCCAAGAGAATGATTAGTTGTCAATACTCTCATTGACAAGTTCAGCTTAAGCGAAGTCACCGACGTTAAGTGTCAAACCCTCAGAAAGACTGCCTAGTCAATCGCTGCGAACTATTGCTATTGAAAATGTTTGGCCGTGGTCCGTCTCAGAACTTAAAGTTTTGTGAACGAACAGCGAACCATTTATGATAGAAGTGTGAGAGTTCTTTTGTATTGATAAGATTTCTACTCGTTAGCTGTGACCCCTACTGCGTCGCACGTCAAGCATAGTGATTTCTCTTCCGACCAGGTCTAAGATGAATTGCTCTTAAACTGGACTTTTCTAAAGCTGTCTACATACAGGAAAAGTGCCTACAGAAAACCTCACTTTAAAAAAATACTTCTGGCCAGTCCGTGAAGGCACATTTTTGGAGAAAATCACTCCCAGAAGAGATTAGATCGTAGAAATGACCGTTGTCTGTCCATTTCTCCAAGTGGTCTCCTAGATGGGGCTGTCTGTAGACACGTATTACTCACTCCTGTCTCTGATGGCCTAATAACCTAATAACAGTTGACGTGTTATCTGATACCACACTTGTCAAATTTGTTGCTCCTGAATTGGCACTCCTTAAACTGAGTACCGAAAAGATATGAGAAATTACCGATCCACAAGAATTGCTGCCGTAGTAAACACAGATAAAGAAAGTCCCAGAAAACGCATTAGAATGAGAGTAAAATTGGAAAACAATAACCCTGATCAGGTAGTGAAGTGGGAAGCCAACCCCATGAAAACCAATGAATTTAGGACAAAAATCATTCATTCAGCTGTAGCACCCTTTCGGTGCCTAGCTGCCATGCCACACGAAGGAGGCACGAGGGCTGGGATACTGCCAGGTTGCCCAAGCCTAGACAGGGGAAGTCGAGAGGCAGAGATCGGGTTCGAACCACGGACCTTGCGCCCGAACCACCTGGTCTATCTCGCCCCCAAATGACAAATGGCAAATGACAGTTGAATCCGGTTAGGAATGACGTCCTGACTGAAGTTCTGAACTAGTCACAGATTGCAGCAAACGCCGTTTTTTATTATCAGTGTATCTGAGAGAACACGAAGTGCAACGATTGAAGAAGCATCACCCCATATTTCAACAAATTAACAAGTATAATAAGTTATAACGTCTTCAGCTGAAACCGTTTTAAGCTGAGCCTAGAGTGTGGCTAAAAAAATTAACGTCGATGGGTCAGGAACGAGAAATTTTTATTTACGTGGTGTAACGAGGAGAAAATTATCATTCAATGAGATAAATGAATGCTGTGAGCCTCGTAAGCTCCCATGACAATGGAGTTTGCCTACCTGATGGACTCTAAGAAAGACAAAACCGATTAAGGGCTGTCAAAGATTTTCAGAAATCCCATGACAATGGAGTTTGCCTACCTGATGGACTCTAAGAAGGACAAAACCGATTAAGGGCTGTCAAAGAGTTTTCAGAAACCTTGTGAGTAGTTATTTTTACAAAAATAGGTTGGAGATATTTACAAAATTTCTATGTCGAACTGTCTTTGGCGGAAACTACTCAGTCTTCCTAACCACACAACATCATTACGCAGTGTAGCATAGTCAGCTGAATAAAATAATTTGTCAGAGACTAAGTTGAATTTAGTTGTGTTTACCATTAAAAGGAAATTAGTTTGCAGATGAAGTAAGGTGCCGTCCAATTTGGATTCATTTTAAACATAAGGTCTTTGGGATTTCGGGGACGGTGCCTACCTGAAGGTCTCTAAAATGACTGAAACCGTTCGTGAGCTTCTGGAGAGTTTTCAGTAAACTTTTTAGAATTGTGCTAAATCATACAGACGGGACATTCTTCAGCGTTTGACGCACTTCTATGAGTGCTTGCCAGCTTTCCCAAATGACGTTTAGCTGATATATGCTTGCTTTTAATGTTCCCCTTACCCGAGGTTTTAAGATCCACCAACAACGGGTGGAGATATTGTATAAAAATGAGTAGTGCAAAAAATTTCTAGGATGGTTCCTATTTTCTAAATTTACGATCCCGATCCACATGTATGAGATGAAAGTCCGGTTAGACGCAAAACGAACAACTAAACATTTGGGTGAACTTAATCACGCCCAAGTGAAGAAAAGTGAGGCTGTTGAGTTGGTTCAATTGCTCTGTACAAAGTAAAAGCTCATATCGTGAATCCGAACATAAGCAGTGCACCAGATTGAGCTTACTGGACTACTTTACGCCCTTTTCAAGCTAACCTCAATACTCTTGCTGACCTTGAGGCACTTGACCTTCATAAGAGGCCAAAGTGAGTTCGCTGCTTCACACTACTCAAAATCATATGCAATCACACTTAATTGAATTTGCTTGTTCCAGCAATGGTGTTCTTAAAAGAGCATTCAGGTCATCGGAAGCACTTAAAATTGCAGTTCACTCTCATTACAATACCGTAAGCACATGAAAATACACCAGAAGAATGAGTCAATGTATTAGTCATAATTGGACTTTGAGCGTCTTTTTTTACATGCTGCGCGATCCACCATAGGACAGGAGTTAATTCATTCAAAAAACTTCAGCACTGGAGTTATTTCTTGCCACAGAGTTCGTGAGAAACGGACGTTTTCTTGGAAATTTCCGCCATTTGGTTAGGGGTAGATTTCACCAGCTTGGCAAACGTCATTAAAAACTGGACGAAAACAGCCAAGAGGAATGAGGACTATTCACCGAAAACGTATACCGCAACAGCTCACCAACGAAATGCAGGTGAAACTAGGTGGACGATTTCCTCTTGCTGTTTGGTTAATCACCGCTTCGAGTAAATTTATCCATCAAGTCTGAAGCTTTGTTTTTCTGAGTTGCCAGAATCAACACACAGAAAGTGCGCGTATTCGCGTCACAAGCTTAGATTCATCATTTCAGCCCTATTCGTTTTGAGATTTCGAATCATTCCGTCTAGATGAACTTTCTACCTGAGACCATACCGTGGCAAAATGCAATAAGAAACACAGTATAGAGCACAACATGTCAATCTGTGCTACGAAGTATAAAAGCCAATTTCATAAATTCTTCAAAAGATGCCTCGAGATGAACCCGGATATCTAGATAATTTAGCCATCTTCGCCTTAGCTGGATATCCATAATCGTTATTGTTGAATTTTCATGCTCATTTGCCATCAGCTTGCCTTCCATAAACACGTGTTGAAGCGATTATCGTACTGTACCAAGTGCCCATCGATCTAGTTTACCAGCGACAGTAAAGTTTACCAAGCCAAGAGGAGTTTCCAAGGCAGCCTGGTTTAGTAACGATCTACTGTAACCTTAAATGGACCTGCTTTGGTATGCTTGCACTAGTTCACACTACACTGTTATACACAACACATCCTCAAAAAGACCTACAGCCAACAAATCCAATAAAGCGGCCCGCCAATTATCGGTTCAAACTCCTGTATGAACATGCCAGTCACTTTCATGTGCACAATGCTGAATTATATATATATATATATATATATATATATATGTATATGCAAACATTGCTTATCAGCTTGGTGGTTGAAAACCTCCAAAACCTCCGAAAATGTCAGTAGGACTTCGTCGCGGCTAGGAGTTGATCGAGGGTGCATTTAGCTCAACGTGCTTTCATTAAACACTAGTCCTATTTGCACTGCTTGTGAATCGCGTTGTCCATAAGAGACTCAATCCGGTAATTGTACTAGAGTATGACGTTTACCGGCCCAAACACAACACTCGTACTACTAACTGCGGGGTAGCCGACTGAAACATGAATTTTTCATATGTGAGCGTTAACGACGCTTCTTGTTTACCTTAGCTTAATTTTAGCATCTGAAAGCCAGACAAGTTAAACGTGAGTGTCACTTCAACGAGAAATCCGAGTCCTATGAACAAAGCTATGAGTGGTCTAGGAGAAAGAATCGCACAGAACCAACAGCTACGGTTAGCGTTGACTTGATTGCATCTCACTCATACACTGCTCTTACTCTCACTTTTAAACGCTACCATTGAAAGGAAGAAGGCCTTCGCTGGGGAGTTATCTATTACAAAAAACTATCTATTACAAAAACTGCATCTCTATCCTCTCTTTCAACGTGCCTTCCTGAACTTTCCTGGATATTCATTGACTGTTGCTCAAATCCAAGCAAAAGCTACAAAGAGACTCCACAAATTCTGTAATAAATTTCAAGAGATGCAAACCGGATTTACGAGAAAACATGCAACTCACATGCCTCAACAACTAGTAGTATCATCGTTGCACCATTATCTAAAAACTCCCGATTTTGCGATCGCACCCAAGTAAACGACAAAACTTCAATATATCCGCTTTATTTGGTTCCGTGTCAAGTAACAGTCAAACATAACGCGTAGCCAGCTCACTGTAAACAGTCTCTGTTCGGTTTCAGTAGTCTACGAATCATTACAAACATTGTCTACCACTATAAAGCTCGTCACTTTGAGGACTCAAAATTCTCGCTCACATCCACGGGAAGCCAAACCAACCATTGTGGCGAAATGTGGCCTGGAACGAAAAAGTCATTCAAAACATAGAGGACCAGGACTTTTCGCACTCTTTTGTATCATTCTGTCAGGTCAAAAATCGCTTACGTTTCCGCATGCAGAGCTTAGATTTTCGGTACGGGGAATGAAGTCTTCGGAAAACGATAATTTGGTGTGCGCAACACCAAACCACCATATCATTTGGCGCTACACACATATTTCGACTGAAGTGACCGTTACACAGCCAAAAACCCGTTTTTCGATTGCCTCGTTGCGAATTCCCCAATATCAGCTCTCACAAGCCATGGAGGTAATGGTTATCAAGTTCCTGAAAGAGCCTCGACTCCGCTGTTGGGAATGAACACGTCTCACTGCAGAACAGGCCATACCATAACATGGCACACGCGTCCTTCGAGATTCAGAATTATGCAACTTTTGCGCAAATGTGACGCGAGCCTTAGAGGTTCGGGCAATGACTTAAACCGTCGCCCTTTATTTGCAAGTAATATAGTACCTTTCTAATTTGAGCTTTTGTCCCGCTTTCTTAGATTCCGGTTGTACCAATTCACTGGTTTTATTGCTCATTGTATTGTCCCTGTGTACTTTACCTTAGTCGCACCGCCGGCAGTTTCAAAACAGCTCACGGTTTTCACCCAGGTTTGAGGCAGTTTCAGATTGACAATACCGCACAATCGCTTTGCTAACACACTGGCTTGTCATCGTCGCATTTGGCCTATGCTTTGGACGCAAAATGCACAGTGTTTTGCTAAACCTAAACCAGATAAGGACCTACAAATAATCAAATAAATAGCCTTGGAATAACGGCGAAAAAGCACCTAGATATGCCACCATTTTTAAGGGGTCTGTAGCAGTAGTACAAATGCTTTCAATCCGAACTAGCTTATGTTCCTTTGCTACTTGATAAAATACGGGTAACCAAGGCAGAAAATTTTGGAGGAATGAGCTTATGCATCCAGGGCACCATATCCACGTTTGATGCGTGAAAATGTTTCATTTATGAGCAAACTTAATCCTCTTGAGAAACTCTCAAGATGGTACTGTGCACAAGCTGTTTTCGGATATAATTCTTCGGTGAAACGTCCCTCAATTAAGAGATTCTACCATAAGCAAGGAGGCAACTCCACGCTTTGGTAATGCTTCTTCCAACAAAAGGCGCGGTTTTCTTTGTAAGAAGGTATTCCGTTCAAAACATGAGAGATCGCGATTGGCTTAAAGATGTTGCACCGAACAACAGAATCGTTCACCGATCTGAATCTACCATGAATGTTGAAGACAGTGTGAGATCAAAACTGTCGTACTCAGCAGCTCAGGTCCGTAGAAAGTTAGGTTTCAGATAAATTATAACATAACTACCGGGAATCTTTAGATGCTGTTGTCCTACTTGGGCTGTAGTAGTGGAGATGCCGAGACCGAACAGGAAACTCAAGACTTTATGATTTTCTTGTTTTTCAATTGCATCTACTAGTAGTACTTGCACTCAATAGGATGTTCGCGATTTGCCTCACAAAAATGATGACCCAAGTTCTTCCCTTCCAATAGATGAAGTTTTAAAAACTCTTCTCCTCTTTTGTAATTTTTATTAGAGATAATGTATCGATTTCGGAAGTTATGCAAATCTTAGGTTGGCTTATAACTTCTAGTCAGCTAAAATATTTGATGAACCGATGACATATACATTGGAGAAATCGATTGTTCACCCCCGATCAACTATTTCACAATCAGTTGAGTTGACAGATGCTATAAATGAGAAATTTTCACTAATCGGAGTTAGACTACAGGTTATGTTCTATTATTCTACCATTTTTCCTTGGTAAGTAATGTGGCTGAACCATAAAGCACTTGGATGAATTTAGGGAGATACATCTTCCGAGACTCCATGTCCACAACAAGCAACAAATTAAAGGACTAGCACAGTTACGTAATGTATCAATTTAAACCTTCAGTAAGTTTAACATTCTCACTTGTTTATGATAGTCAGTTACGGTGAATTTGATTGTTTTATTAGTCTCTTTTGAGACGGCCTTTTGCCTGACGTTGTCCAAAATTGTCTTTAATTTTAGCTACGTGTAATAATTGAGTAACATAAAAGATGCTCGTTCGCCGTTCGTGGTCATTGTGTACACACTTTCAACTGAATCACCAAGATCCACATAATTTCTATCAACAAAATCCTCACAACAACCGCAAAAACACTGTCTACCACTTCAGTTTGAATTGTGTTTCTGACAGCAGTAAAATAATTCGAATGGCCTTTCTGTTCATCCGACAGACGACAAACCAAATGAAATGTACAGGTTCGTATGCCTGTGGGTCTCGGAAGTCCAACGATATGTTACATCTCTGCGGACTAACCTCTGATTTCTAAAATACTTCCTTTTAGTATACCCATGATTGTCAAATATCATGGTTTTGCTGGCGGTAGAAATATAAGGAGCAGGCACTCAATATCAAAATGTTTGTTCATTCGTTTCTTCTACTTGGTCTGTTATCCTTATAAAAGATCCAAAGATTACCTAAAAACTGGTTTACAGTTATACTGGAAGTTTATAGCAGTGACTTGTCAACAGTGAAGGGGATCTATCTTTTGTGACTGATATTTCGATTTTCTACTACAACTTTACTGTAAAAGCTCTTCAACGAATAAGTCTAAATGATCAGGCTCGATCATTAGTACCTTAGCGGGGCTGATAAAGACCCAAATTCAAGTTCAAACTACTCGCAACTAGACGGTTTCTCTAACTGTGTGACTCAAATTGTGGTAGCATTTCAGTCACTTCTTTGTGCAGGTCAGTCATTTTACAATATAGTCAATTCGCCCCATTCTAGTAACTTTCCAGTTCAAAACTGCCAACCTTCCCGAATATAACACTCGAAAAACGACACATCCAGATTTTTCGAGACAAGTGCACTCGAAAAGGCAGTACTGGCCAGGAGTCACATACTTTCCATTCTGTATTGCATCCCTTCAGCACTGAGTTATCTCGAGGTTGTCCCACGGTCAGCTGTTATGCATTGGCCCTATCGTGCCAAACCGTAGACAAACCTCTCTGACCTGTTTCCAAGCTTTAGCTGTACATCACTTGTTCCCGAACTGAATGATTAAGAACTCCTCGTAATGGTTGGACACTACTTTTTCCCTGAAAGTGGAGAAATTACGATTCGGTCATTCCTTCTCTTTAAAGGAAAGAAGAGACGAAGGCTTGAGAAGGCTATGTGTGGGAATACTGCCATTCCTTCTGCTCACCAGGAATGTTTTCTTTGTTCATAATACCTGGGCTACTTCCACCGAATGTGGTTACTCCAAGCTAATAGGTCTGTTGTTGCCGGCACTCGAGTATTCGGCAACAAACCCCACCTTTGGAAGCCAAATCAGTTGTGTCGAAGCCGGCAAGTTTGCTGGTCATGTGACTAGACCATATAATGCGGTGTTGAACTGTCCTGTTAAGAATTCAACTGTGAACAACCTAACCCAAGCATCAACAGCAAATTTTTTTCCAGCCAATGAAACCAAATCATGCAAGTTGCCTACAATGTTTTCACGAAGAGCATTTCCGGAGTCAATTCTCTTGAGGCTATATCGACCTCTACGGTTTGACCCTATATTTGAAATATGATTGCATAAAAATATAACATTTGACAAATTCGATCTTCACTGATGGTATGAATGGTATGGTTTCTTCGCTTCTCAAGAGAGTTTTCCGACAATGAGGCTTCGCTTGTCAGTATGTTTAAGTATGTTGCTGACTTCAGGCGTGCCAGATCAACCAGTGAAATACTGTCTACTTCTCTGGTTAATTCAGTTTTTCATGTTGATGCTTCTTAATTAAAACAGTTTTTGTCTCTCCGAGCCAACTCTCTGAACATTACTCAACGTCTGGTTTTGCCAACCCTGGAGCTGATCGGGTAATCACAGACTCCGGGGCTCCATCAACCATATGTTCTACTTGAACCCAAATTGGACAGATTTCGAAAAATGCTGTCATTCCCTCAAAATAAACTCAAGTGAAACCACCCAAATCCCTCGTTCTTGATGGTCTCCTTTAAGTGAATGTACTGCATTAGGCCGCAACCAGAACACGGCAACCAGGACATCTTGAGATGAAGTTTGTCAAATGTTACGTACTTTCAAATACACGAGAGTGTGGAATATCAATGGCTCTTCAGAATGCCAAAATATTCTAGCCAGACAATTCCGAAAACGAGCACATGGTCAGAAGTAGCTCCTGCTAGATCGGCCCCCAAAATTGTGTCACTGATAAACCAGACGTTCTCAGTTTCAATCCACTGTTTGAAGTTACTCGTTGGAAAGGGTATAGCTAGGTCAGCAGGCAGCACTTCGAAGATACATAAGCCCCTTATTGTAATCTAAGATAGTTACCTTCCCGTTGAATAGTTTCTCTACCAGGTGTTGTGTGAGGCATCGCCTGAAGGAAGCATCGAGAAAAGCAAAAACCAATGGTAAAGCGTGCGCACAAATCTGACGGGTTCAGTGTGTGCTAGACCTACGACTATGCTACTGATTATGATGGTAATAGCCAAGAGCTGTGGAATACTGTCAACAGTTCTTTTCTGGCCACGGTTCACACGAAGAGTTATGACCAATTGTGAAAAAATTACAACCCACTTAAAATAAGTTCAAATGATTGAGGTTAGGTGGATTTTTCCAGTTCGTTTCCATATCGGCAATGTTCTGATGGCCTGTTCTCTGATTAGTTCACAATTAAAAGGAGGCTTCGGAAATGAATCTGTCTTATATTTTAGTTCCACATTGTTCTATTTTTCTAGCTCTCCCGGGATTTATTCTACTGATATATAGTATGCATGGCGAGTCTCCAAACATGTGGACATGTTCACGTTAGATAATATGCTTAACGAGTCGGACAATTAATCCCAGGCTATGTTAACCTCCTGACACGGTTTGATAAGGCTGCCTGATCAGGAAGCATCAGTTAAATCACGAGTTCCAGTAAGAGCACAGAAATCCAAGAGGCTTTTGAGGTTGCTTTACATTTGTTGAGATAGTCTGCAAAGAGACATAGTACTCTTGGAAAAGGTGTGGAACCGATTGAGAAGTCATTGTTTCAGAAGAGCTCGGTAAACGGTCGGTAGTTTTTATTCGGGCAACAGATAAGGTCGGGTGGAAACTAAAGACCACAGTGTACGAGAAGCCAACCGACACTGAGACAGTTTTGAACTACTCATCTGCCCATCCGAAGTCGGTATTCGCCAGCATTGCGTCATCATTGTTTAGGCGTGTAAGGGCCCTGTGCACAGAAGAAGCTGACCAGGCGGCGACCCGAACTGAAGCAAAGAACAAACTTCGGGGTAGTGGATATCCAGCTAGTTTGATTGGGCCTTATTTGCGAAGGGTATTCGTACCGGTAGCGAAACTCAACAGGGAATAGATCGGGACCGCGGTCATTCCATATAAACCAGGGACATCGGTGGTAATTCAAAGAATTCTAAACACGGCTAGTAGCTTTCCAGAGGGGGGAAGCACTGGACATGGGACACAGAATAGACTTGGAAAATGTTGAGGTTTTGAGGCGAAGACTACGGTCCACGTCACATAGACTGATCACCGAGGCGGTAGAAATCGACAAGCATCCCGGCGTTAACAGATTGGAAGAAGTGAAACTGGCTAGCGTGTGGAGAACGGTCTTGGGTAACTCGAAGTAGCACGTGTTGGTGTGCGGTTATCGGAAGTAAGAGTGGTCATCATCTGAAATCCACTTGACCTCAACCCCCTCAAACTAAATTGTCGGAGCACCCACAATCCCACAAAGACCAGGGAAAATCTGACAGCTGTACCCAAGGTGAATCATCAGTTAAATCGCCCTGAAGTGGAAGATTAAGAAAAAAAAGCGATTGGAACTAATTTGAAACTCCCCCCAACCAATCAATTCAAGATTTTGGCAACCACACTAGCCGACAATGATCCAGTGTGATAATCCGAAGAGGACTTACTGATTGGTTCCCCGTCTGTCTGGCCTATTAGGTGACCTAGATCACTTGGCCTGATGACGCTTTTTGTGCCCAAATAAAAACCACCGATTGTTTACCAAGCTCTTCTGAAACCAAGACCTAGTACTCCTTTGTAAGTCAACTCATGACGATCAGCATATGGCAGGTCACTTTGGTTCATATTGTAATATGAAGCTCTCTGAGCAGACTTACACTTTTACCACAATGAACACTTGAAACAATATTGTCTTTTGCGCAAACAGAATGTAAATAAGCAAATGGACTGCCATTCGATAAGTAAGCTTCAGAACTGGCCCATCATGACTGGTTTGAAAATGTCCAAACTCAGTCACTATTGCTAGAAAAAGGAAATCAATCGTAATTCGGCAAAATCCGGTCTCGCCTAGCATGGATATTCATGATTACCAAGTCAAACCAAAACCAGTGCTTTTACTTTGCATTCTTGCGTGTTTCACTAGGAGTATTGATTTGTTTGGAGAAGTGGAAGTTCACTGTTAGAACTCATGATATGATTTCCATCAGCGACACATTTTGTATGAGATGAGAAAAACATTACATAGTATCTGTGTAATTAGAACATTCAACGACATGATAGATTAAAACATCATCAGTAAAGAAAAGCATAACGTCGCGTTCCATAATTCCAGTTCCCGCTGCGACGCAAATCATTCTGTTTGGCAACAAATGCCTCCGATGAGAAGTCCGGGCTGACTGTGAATGACAGAGGCATGATTTTGACTGTTGGTTGGAAAAACGTCTCTGCCTTGGACACACGCATTTTCGGTGGGAGTGGTAAGCTGGGTTCTAAAGAAATGTCCACAGAGTATGACCGTCGCTTGGGAAGATACGGTTTTCTGAAATCCACGAGAAGTTACTTTGGCTGTGAAACTCAACTTGATCACCGAAGTGAATAATGTTTAAACTGAATTTTTCCTAAACTTTACGTATTTGAACTAAACCAGGTCTTCGATTCAGTGCTGACTTGGGACTAACACAGGAAACTAAGCGATTATCACTTATTCAGCTAAGCCATCTTTTATACCTGATCTCAGCAACACCATCACGCTGACGCTTTCGGCGCCGTGCTAAGATGCAGGTAACTTGGTATTCGTGGTCATCTGCTGAGGCGGAACGTTAGTGTGACCGCATGCGTTCGGATGCAATAGACCAAAAATGCCGTGCGCTGAGTTTTCATGTATGTTAGGCGAATTTAGGCGCTAAAAATTACCCTGTTGTGCTCCGTTCAACAATATTCCCACAAACAGCGGCTTACGTCAGCAAATTCTTTCATTTGGAACTAAGTGTTGATAGCTCAGTTGGTCAAGTTTGTGTTCGAATAGTTTGGCGGGACTACGAACCTTGTTGCAGACGATTTGTCACCGATCGAAGTGAAGCCATCAATGCGTCGCACAGCTCTGCTTTGCTTAAAAAATACGTATCCGTAGCGTTACCTTAATTGACAAGGAGACGTTCGCAGCAAATTTGTCAAACGCATCGCACTTGCCTACCACTAAACCTTTCGAGGCCGCCCACTTGACCTTGACCAATAACAAGAATTAGCTTGACGGCACTTTGAGTATGTTAAACTGGACTACCTGATAAAAACCACTTAGAAGAACATCCTATGAATCAAATTGATCGGTGTTCAACTACCTCATTTATCAAGATACCTTGGCGTACATTTGGGGCTTGACCCATTGGATGCCTAAAGTATATCCAGGTAATCTTCCATTCCACGTTATCTGCATGAGTAGATGACATCTGAGGCACTTTGAACCTAAAATCGTTTGGAACAATGGGCAAATATGGATTGCTGGCGACTACAATCATATTGCATAGACCTTCGGGTGACGTTAAGGGCAAAATTTCGCGAAAAAAAATGGACCGGAGAATCTTACTAGCAAGTGTTTGACCTACACCCCAGATACATACAGTACTATCCTCGAAAAGCGTGCTCTATTGAAGTGTGGTCATAAGGTATGCTCTTTGACGCGTCCTCTCATAATTGGCAAACACACTGAGGTGTGTACTCTTAGATTTTATGCATATAGCTGCTACAGACGTTGGAACTTAGGAGGTCGAATAAATCTGAAATTTCTTAATTATTTGTAAGCAACCTAACTTACTAATGTCACCGAGGAGAACCAGTGACAGAAAAGTCATCTGACTGTCGCCAGCTGATTGGTAGGATGAATTTAACAGCGCTCGTGTTTCATCTTCATCTAATGAGGCAAACATTCATGCAACAAAAACGGTGAAAAATGAAGACTCTACCAACACTTCCGTCCGTGGGTTTGAATCCCTAAGCGAAATTCTGTACGCAATCCAGTACTTCAAAACTATCTGCCTGATTTCTACCCTGGATTTCGATCCTATTTGGACAACAAGACATGATTGATACGCCGCAACTCACGTTTTTGAACAGAAAAAGTGAACCTGAATAACCGCTGCTCAACAACTGTATCTTGAGCACACTATGATGGAATTTCATGCGGGTATAATTATGTGATATTATGGGACCTAGGTGACTACATTTGACATTAGATACAGTATGGGCTGACCCACTGAAGAGTACACCGGTGGCTTGATAGTACTGATGTGACGTCTAAGTCAGTAGTCAGTGAGCGGATGCACGTGACCGTCTCCTGATTTGCGTAGCCAAGGTAATGATATTATGCTATTGATGGCATCTGCACAACAGACTAACTCTCGCAGTGTTAATAAATCTTAGGGCAGAATGATTCAGTTTGATTCTTAGGGGTATGCTGTCATGGGCGACATCTTTTTGGAGTAGGTACACTGACAGACATCGGCAAGTTTCTTTACTGTTGGAGCTGTTTACTCTCCATGACGTAAGAATACACGGAAAACCAGAGTCAGAGTTCATAATTTGTCCCAATCAACACCTCACTTTTTATATAGGACCTTTGAAGACGAATTTTCAAAATATCATGAATTTAAAATTGTCACAAACATTGAATGATATGCTGTCTAGGTTCGTTCAATTATCTGAAAACTTCCTTCAGCCACCAATTGTTTTGGAATCAACTAGGGGCACGCAAGCAATTGGCTGTGCCAGCAAAACACCTTTATTGCTCCCTATATGAAGGGAAAATGGAGTGTTTGGGAAAAATGGTGCCCTGGAAACAGTACACAGTGTGTTCAGACGGTGTACTAGTTTCCCGTTTCCGTTTTCTTCTGTTATGACGAAATTGAATATAATAACTTGTTAGGAATTTAATTGTTGGATGCCGTTTGCTTCATGATTAAGACTAGTTACGAAACTATAGAAGAAAAGGGAGTTGAACTAAACATCAATAGTGGTGACAATAATATCACTTCGATGGCTAGCTGCCGTGCTACCCGAACGAAGCACGAGGCCCGAGGTCCCAACAGGTTATGGAAGCCTAGATAAGAGCAGTCGAAACGCAAAGCTTGGGTTCAAACCACGGACCTTTCGGTAAGGCAGTTTGCATCTTGATCACTGAATTATTCTTTATTCTGGCCTGTCAGGCCATTCATCTGTCCTCACATTAAAGGACCAAATAGGAACTGTAAAACTGTGGCGCAGATTTCCACAAAATTGCGCAGGAAATCGAAGCAAATCAAGTCACTCACCACAGCCATAAGTCAGATGTAAATGGTAATAAAAGACTTTACCAAGATAGATGCTTAACAGCTTTTTAACCATACATTCTTCATTGACAAATGAGAAAGAAATATATGACTTGTACTAATCTCCTTGCATTTTGTTACAACAGTTTGTGAAGTTTCAGTACTACAAAATATGAATAGCCTGGAAGCAAGCTACATTTTGGTAGAATCAGCGTCTAAAGTGTAGGTAAAGTCCATCTCCACCAGACTGTGACCTTCGTCCCATCAACTATTTTGTTAGTTACAACAGTTTGTGAAGTTTCAGTACTACAAAATATAAATAGCCTGGAAGCAAGCTACATTGTGGTAGAATCAGCGTCTGAAATGTGGGTAAAGTCCATCTCCACCAGAGTGTGACCTTCGTCCCGTCAACTATTCATGAATGTCACCCACCACTGGAATACCTACCCCACTGCTCTCATCTTACCCCCCACCTATAGATAGTTTGCATGCAAGTATTTGTTCTCTAGTCATTATTATTAATTATCATGGCAGTTTTTGACTAGACTGGATGTCTGGAAATGGAATCAGCCCATACCGATGTGTCGTTTGTTTTTCACTCCCATATCATTGTCCAATATTCTTGTTTGACTTCATTCATCGGGTTCCACGCGACAGAACATCACGGCAATACATTTCAGTGAATAATTCTGTCCTGGTTGGGATGAACCTGTTTCCATCGGTAAAGTTGAGACAATACCAACGATCATTTGGCGGGGACTCATTGTTTTTTTAGCCACCTATTATTATGACGTTACATCTGTTGAATACAGGGAATTGATTTCAGAGGTATGTGAGTGAGTCTGCACGTGAAGAAACTATCACTGCATTACTGATACCGGGTGTGATAAAATGCCATGAAAGTGCACCTAAGTCGTCCCCCGTTATTGTAAACTTGTGAGTGAGATACCCGTTCTTGGGAGGATTTGAAGATATATCTGTTCGTCTATTTCCTCAGATCACTTTACCAAAGCAATTATGCGAATTGCTATGTCAGACGAATTGTACTTTTCAGTTAAGGTCACTGAATCCCACCAAAATATCTATCAATCGCTATGGTCGACCGACAGATTGCACTTTTGACCATGATTTCTCGTCATAACACACAACTGCACTAATTCTTCTGAAGATATGTGGTACAGAGGTATCTAATATATGCGGTCTAAAGTTAAAGTGTATTCATGTACTTCGAAATGCCTCACAGTTGTACTGACCTTCCGAGCATAGACGTGAACTAATCTCAGGTATCCTGCAACCATGGCTAGCTTGGTTGCTTAAGCTGAGTTGTAGAACTTGAATATCCATAAACTGACTTCCAAGGACTCGGGATTTTCAGTTAGCATTTCTGGGCGCTAGGTTACTGAACCAACCTTAGCCTCGACAACTATATGGCTAGTGTCCTCAGTGACCATCGGTTTATTTGGACGGAAGATCGAATACACGTGAGCAGGATTCAATGTTAGCAAGTTAGAAAGAGGCGTTGGCGGCGGTGTGTCCAATTGATACTTAGCTGCGACGTGGACTCCGACAAAATTAGCACTCGAATGGTCAGTAAGTACTCAGTAACCTGAGCGGAAAAGGTCGTTTTAAAGATGGACTGGACTGAAGAGTCGCCCGGTGTGCCAGGCTCCTTGATTAAAGTAGAAAACAGCTGAACGTTGAAATCGTCGTCAGAATTCGCAACCTAATTTTATGTACATCACAACGATGAAATGCCTATGCGTAGTCTTGGAGGGTATCGTAGATGACAAGTGCAATGACGTAGAAGAGCAAACACTATAACGATATACACTTACGCTGAAGAAGCGAGATGATTACTCACAGAGTTGCGAAGTCCCTGGCTTCTCGAAGCAGATCGGGTGCTTCTGAAGCTTTCACTGGTTACGGAGCGCGGAATCTATACTGAGCCAAGCGTGCTTCTATCAAACAGCTAGAATCTGATCTTTGTTCGATATGGAACCGCAATCTGACCACAGTTAGGCCTACAGAACAATAATTCTGGCAAACCGAATGTTAAAGCAGCCTAGAAATCTCCTTTATTTTATCATGTTCTCATTATCATACTGTCACCCAGTTTTGCCAGCTTTCACAGGCTGCATACAGGTTACTGCTAATTTACCCTACTCAAGGGTTCATACAAGAATCTGTTAGAATTTGCTTGGTTTATTGAGGGCCGAAAATTCCACCAGGTAACCGGCGGACACAAATTCTCAATTCATTAAGGACGCCATGGAAATGGGATAAATTTTTGTGTTTGAGCAACAGATTTGGTTCAATCGCACACAGTTGTCCTCCGGTTCTGGTAGGGCTGTGTCTTGACTGAGTAACGTTAGTCCACTTTTGTTAGCCTATCCCTGTTAGCGTTTTGATTGAGCCAACTTCGTCCATCTTTTTTAGTTTTCAAAGTTCACTGTCCGTCTTAGCTGGGTGCACTGTTTTTTAGTTGGCTTCTGATCAGGTGGCTGTTGATCCGTTCGCTGGGCTTAGAAACTGACTTGCAAGCGTTTTTTCACAATAAAAAGGAAGCGTCATCAATGCACGGTTGAATGTGTGCTTCCTCCCTGCCAGTATATAGCCTTTACAGCTTATCTGTTATCTCTCAACCTGATTGGGAAATTCGGAAATAGCGAGTTATATTCAAAGGCCATATAAAGGCGCGCAGACGAAGAGAAAATACCCACCCAACTGCGCACGTGACGAAATATTTGCAAGTCTATTGCCAAGTTCGGTGAACAGGCACACAGGCTACGCGATCAACAACCCCCAAACTCACTCTGGCAACTAATACTTTGACACAATACCAACTGATATATTATTTTTGCTTATGAGATGTGAGAGTCACACAACTGGTGACGAAGCCGACGTGCGCTTCCATTAAGTGACGTGTCGTTTCTGCAGGTCGATACTCTGTTAGGTTGAATTTGGCCGGAAGAAAATCTGTGTTGATTGAATAAACCCGGGAAGCTTACTGAAAATAACTTGCTGAAGAAAAAACAAGTTTTATTATCATCATAAACGAGAGATTCAGTTGAGTCTCCGGTGAAAACCAAATTGATTTGCAGATGAGTGTATTTCTCGAAAACAGTTTTATTAGTTTCACTAAGGGAACTACTCACAAGGTTGCTGAAAATTCCTCGACATCCCACGACCGGTTTCGCCCTTCTTGGGGCTCATCAGGTTGGCGCAGTCCCCGAGTTTCCGTCAATCTTATGTTCTGCTTGAACCCAAATTGGACTGTTTTCGAGAAACACACTGATTTGCAAATCAATTTGGTTTTCACGAAAGACTCAGCTGAGTCTCTCGTTTATGATGCTTCGCACTAAATGTGCTGCACACAGGCCACGATATTTTCATAAAAGAAAGAATATCCTAAACGAGAGATTCATTTGTGTCTCGTGAAAACCAAATTGATTTGCAAACAAGTATATTTCTCGTCATTATTTTATCAAAGAGAAAGCTACTCATTAATTTGCTAAAACTTCTCTAATATAATAAAGGAGCTCATAAACAAGAGATTCGGCTTGGACCCTGTTGGACGCCTTGATGAAGTCAACTTATTTTGCTGCTTAGTGTAACTCACTGATCGTTATTCATTAAAACAAATGCACCTATGGTGAATTTCGTGCATTCGTATGAAATGCAATCTAAACCGTTTTGCAATGAAGAACAACTGTAATTGTAAACTATTATTGTTTTGAATCTGACTCGATTTTAACAAGTCAAATTTCGGACACTAGAAGGGGCTTCATTGGGAAGTATTGCTTCCATAAAATTACAAAAACCACTTACTTTAAGTAAAGCGGATCTCTTGGAACTTCCATTCTCCAACCATAAACTTTAAGAGCTTTTTCGTAGCTATCTTTTGACTTGACAAGAGGGTTCATTGTTGTTATTGATTCTTCCGCACAGCCGATTTCCAGATAATCGTCTTCTTTGATTTCTTTCAGTGCTGGATGTTCCCAAACTGGCTTCTCAAATAGAGACTCTGCCCGATGCACCGAAGAACTGAGCGGACGAGCTGTATCTTGGAACTGGGATATGGTAGATGTGGTTGAGGACACCGGGGTGGATGAGTCTATTCTGGAAGTTTCCCTGTCGGTTGTAGAAAAGCCGGTTATACACAGAACCGCAGATTTCAATCGTCGCTCCGTGTTCTTTCTTTGGTAGGGGGCCAAAGCAAAGCTTCTTTTGTCCTGAGCGTCAATAGGGAATGCGTCGATCGCAGTTTTACTTAAAATTACGACTAGACTTACCAATGATAAAAACTCTTTAATTTACAACTTACCCTCTAGGAGGAACCCAAGATAGTGTATCGATATTGCAGGTGCATGCATATAAGTTTGTATAAAGAGAAAGGAGGATTGTGTAGTGCAAAAAATTCGGAAATATCACGATATAGACTTCCCTGTCTGTTTAAACACACGCTCTGTATTCCCCGCCTACTGAGATGTCCCATGAAGCCGTAACATTATCCGAACAGTAGACTAAATTTCAGAACATGAGTTTTTCCAATCTGTGAACATCCGTGATAGCCTCAGTCCTTCCGCCACTCCAAGCCCGAAATTTTTTAAGCTTCTGTTGCAAACGACACTGTCCAGTTGCTTATCTGTACGACTACTTTTACTTGGCTGAGATCGTACAATAACTTTCTAACGTTTGTCAAGGGCCTCTAGTTTAGTACACTAGCTAAACCTTGAAGGATATTATGTTGGCATATTATTCGTTTCGGCCTGATAACACGCAACGGTGGACTGGCCCTGAAGATCTACAGCATAATTCGACATAAATATTTTTTACCTGCCTAGTTTGGAGTGATGCTGCTCAGCTGCAAGGTATCGGAACCTATACGGATTCATCTGCGCTGTTTGTTTAGTGAAACCATAAAACTATGAAACCTGATTAACTTTGCCACTGTGGAAGGATTGATTTAGATATAGAAGCGTTCTACACTTAATTTCACAGCTTGTGGCTAGTTTGCCATATTTTTGGGCGACTCACCACACAAAGCTGAGTTTTTCCTAAGCATAGCTATTTTTATACGAATTGATATGTTCTTGCTGGCTCAAACTGATGTCATTTCACACGAATAATGATGATAATAAGGGACGAGGCAAAATCAGTGTCCAAAACTGATGCTTCCTTGTTAGAATACCATAATTTTTTGTCGTTCAAGGAGCCAGTCAGCAGATGGCCATACGATGTGAATCCACTGATTGAAAGATGTCTGGTGCGTACTCTGCCCAACTGAATGTTATTCAGACTGTTCATCAGTCGATGCTAGCTGAGCAATTAACTGTTCAAATGACTAGCCAGGTTCGGAATTCTGTGGAGTCTAATGAGGTGCCCAAAGGCTCTTTCCCAATAGGCATGAAACGGCTGCATCGACTGGTTTCACCAAGGGGCGAAATATCAACCGATGATGCATTTAAAGGGGCGAAGAATTGAACAAGATTGGACGAGGAGGGTATCCAGTAAAATCTGAATTCAGCTTATCATTGGCAGTCGCAATATCGTAGTCAGTGCATTATCATAACCATATATGCGTAATATCAAATCGATCTAACGGTAATGTGAATGCTCGGTGTCCAAAACGGACTGGTCCGTCAACAGTGTTGACATCGTTAAGGGTGCATAGTTGGATAACTAAAGATTGTTAGTATTGTGGCTAATGCATTGACGTATGCAAGAATTTGCTGTTCACTTGTGTTCAACGTGCACGTCAAGAAGCCGAGTTTTTCAGAAGTATTTTCAGGCCAGCCGAGGGAGATTCGAAGGCGCAAAATGATTTATGACGGATGCATACTGCGAGCCTTGAGGTTTCTCGTCTTTTCATAGTTTTATGCTGTGCGATGTTAAATAGACCAACCAGAATGTCCATTTCCAACACTGACAAGTTGGAAACTATGGAGCCTAGTCACTACCACTGCAGAGGATATAAGTGATCGAATCCAGTTGCGGTGTTTCTCATTTGGCAGTGCGCAAACGTGTGGCCAAAGCCTTTAAGCTAGGAACCACCAAAGCCAGTAAATCCAAAATGGTTAAGCTGGAGGAGCGAGAACGGTTCCTGGGTTGTTATGCTGCCTTCGAATTACCAAGTCAAACCGCATGATATCACGTATTAGCTGGAATTAGGTTTTTGCACCAGGTTTTTTTGGTATTACATCAGTTGTGTGAAACTTATTTGCCTGGAGGGTCTGGAACGAAGTGATCGACTTGAGTTAGCATTCTGATATTAACGAAGCGCAGTGGGTGGTGACTTGCTCAAAAGAGAAACTTTTGAAGTTCAACACAATACAGCCCAAGCAAATCACTCGCCTAAGAACCTCACTTTTAGATGCTAGAAATTTAATGGGTGAAATCTTCAACCATACTGAGAATACTTAACAACCACTCATGTACATCCATAGAGAAGCAACAATCAGTCATATGTCTGCTCAAACAAAATGAAGCTATCTGTCAGTCCGCTTTATAAAAAGACAGAATTGACAGGAAATACACATGTTGCAACAAGTCGAGAACATACTGAATTTTGTCGCCATTTGAGATATCTTATCAACGGCGGTCCGTTCACCAACCCAAAGAATTCTAACAGATCATAGGCATTATTTTTAAAACCCAGTAGGGTGTTTATTTAGTGGCCAGTTAATGCCCTGGTTATGACAACGCTGTGCCAATGTTATCCTCTTGATCCACATTTTATCGTAGATTATCAATTACTCCAACGCTTTCTGCTCTCGCTCAGCCAAAATGACAGTAAAAGTCCACATTTGTTCCACTGATTTTCAGTCATCAAACAATCAAAACCATTATGGAAATCGCGACGCCTTTTAGATGTCTTGCAAGTCTAATTCGTTTTCTTTACTAATCACCTTACTTATGAGTCGCTAAATAGCAAATGTGTAAGGCTTATCCATGGCTTACCGCAGAAATCCCGAAAACTTCCATCACCATCCGTTTTGGCAGTTATTGTTTGTTGTCAGGGTGTCGCATTTTCGTCTCGTTCTGCTTATTTGAGCGATACAGCGGTTGATGCATCTACTTCGGAACGGTGCTGTCATGATATGTGATTGAATTTGAACGTGACAGCCTTGGCACAATGGATTTATACTTGGCACGCCCCTGAAGACTAAGCGAAGTGTGACCGTCCTAAATTATCTTATTGGCCTAGCAATCTCTCATAGGACAATGAATTCAGTTAGTTGTGCAATCCCATATCTGAGCAGACCGATACATATGTAGATGGGCAGACAGGTAGCGAATGACAGGTAAATACATGTGCTGATAGATAGATAGATAGATAGATAGATAAACAGATAGATAG